GGTCATGGATTACAAAAAAATCGATCAAGTATTACAAAAAAATCTATCATGGATTACAAAAAAAAAAAAAAAACCGTACGGAATCGCCGATTCACTGTTTGGACTCGCCGATTCCGTACAGTGAATCGGCGATTCACTGTACAGAATCGTCCGGTTCTCTCTAGAACCGGACGATTTCCGATTTTTTGGGCGATCCGGTCCCTTTTCACGTTTTTCCGAGTCGAACCGGGCGAGTCCGGTTCGACTCGGCGTTTTTTAAAACGCTGGTTCAAACCAATGACAACGGATCGGTCGGGTCCAGACCCAAAAACTTATTATGGAAACCAACTCGTCAAATCCAATTTTTGGACCCATAACCCAAACTAGATTAGATCTAATTGTCGGATCTTTGATCGGACCCGGGTCCATTGCCACTCCTACACACGGATATGTGGAGTGGACCATCCACCGACCGATCATAAAACCATAGGCCTTCTTTTCATCTTAACATACAAAGACGATGAACGTAATCATTGTTTGTGCACATAATATTGTGTAGCAATGCGGATGCGGTTACTGCTCCCAACCGCTGAACTTCCAATAATTTTGTTGGAAGGTGGTGATTAAAAGGTTACCATCATCACCTTCCATCTCTATCTCTCAATCACCACTGAAAGACAAAATATTTCTCTCTCAATAATATATTATTAAAATATTTTTCCATAAATTTATTTGAAAAAAAAAACTTTTTCATGAATTTCCTCTGTTACGATTAATTAATTTTTTCATAAATTTATTTCCAAAAAAATATTTTTTAATAAATTTCCTACCTCTCAACAAAATACTTTTCCATAAACTTCTTCTCTCGTAATAAGAAATGATGGCAAATTAGATGGCTGAGGTCACAAAGTCCCGGCGGAAGTCTTTTTTTTTTTTTTTTAACTTTGAGTTTAAGTAACACATTCTTACCGCTACCCAATTTGAAATCTAAAAGACAAGAATGATTGTGTGACCTCTTTATAAAAAACATAAATGTTCTCTTTTGTAGAAAATCCCATAAAAAGATACTTTCCTATAGATTTCCTCTCTCACAACAAAACACTTTCCACCAATTTCTTCTCTCTCAAACTCACTACGTTAGCTTAGTTTGCACGGAACTATTATGAAATTTCAAAAATAAAAGGAGATTTTACTATTAATTTCCTAATAAGGAAAAAGTTTATATAGACCCTAATAATAAATAAGTAAAAAGGCCGGGTTGTATAGTGCCTAGGTTCTAAACAATCAAATTAGAGTTTATTTTTAAATAGTGTGCCTAGGTTCTAAACAATCAAATTAGAGTTTATTTTTAAATAGTGTTGAGAAATGCAGTTTGGAAATCTTTGTTATAGACTTAGAATATATTTTCATCTTTATATATAAAGTTTAAAGCTTCAAAAATAGTGTAGATCAAACTGATCTATGAAAACTTGAAAATTGACAGTCCAAAAATGTGTTACAAAACACAATATTTTCAAAACCTGAAATCTATTTTTTTTCTTATGCCCGTATATCTTGATGTCGAGATGATCAATTTGAGGATATTTGGGCATCAAAACAACATCTTCTAGTGAAATTTTTGAAGTAGGTTCTAATTTAATGGTTTAGAGCCTGGGCTCTCTATAAACTTTTCCCATAAGGAAATAAAGGATACAGCAACGACTCAAATGAAGAAACTAGCCCCAAAAAAAAACACAAATAAAAACACAACATTGGGGCACCTCAAATGTTTCCACTTCACCAAACCAAAAAATAAAATAAATAAGGCGTGAGAATAGAAGCTTCATTGACCAAAAACTACTATTGCTTCGTCAACCCGACTCCGTTTTCTTCTCTAAGTAGTTTTCCGTCCAAATCATTCGCCGGAAGACCGGAATGGCGGACCTTCTTACTTCGCTGGAAAATCCCATGGCCGGATTTCGCGCTGGAAAATGGACCCCTTCTCTTTTCTTCTCCTGTTTCCATACTCTTTAGCTTCTCTGAGTACAACTTCCTCATAACGTAGGCTTCAGCCATATTGCCTGAAATCGAAGCCATAGCCAGAGATTTGCCCGAAACAGCAGGAAATTTTGCCGGAATACGGCTAAAGAAAGGGAAAAAAGAGAAATTTCTGGTATTTGAGAACCGTCGAAGAGAAGCCGAACATGGAGATGATTTAGAGAAAATGGATGAATATATGGTATCTGAGAACTGTTAAAGCGAAGCAGAAAAAGATAAATTTTGCCAACTGGTTTTAGGGTTTTAGATGAGTGAGAATTTAAAGAGTTTTCGTGACTTGGAGGCCAAGTGTTCTCATATTTAACGGCGAATATTTCACCATTAGCAGCTCTTTCCCGTAAACGAATAAAGTGGGACAATAAATGGGCTCAACATTTACAAGAGGGATTGGCGTCGCGGCCCACTTGCCCACCCCTACCCCTCCCATGCGGTCTAGGCGTAGCAATGGGTCGGTTCGGGTCTCGTTGGACCGGATCTGATCGGATCCGACCTAAAAATTCATATCTCTGTATATTTCATTAGTACCAAAAGACTATTACATTAGTACCCAAAAAATATTACCAATATCCAACCAGCTGGGTCCAACTTTTGGACCCGAATGGGGTCTACTCCCTGGTCCCCGATAGCGTCTGGGTCCATTGCCACCCTTACTCCCAGCCTCTTGTCCGTAGCTATGGAAAATTACCAAATTACCCTTAATATTTTGGTGACGGAATGCCTTTGGGTTCACAAGGGAGAGTGCTACAGTGGTAAAAAAAAAAACCAAAGTAAGGAAAAAAAACATTTGAATTTATCGTTTTACGGGAAGTATTTGAATGCATCAGTATTGATTGGATGGTGGATGTTCACAAGGGAGAGTGCTACAGTGTGCTCCATAGCAAGCATTGTCACTAGTTACTCGTAACCATAGCTTTCCTGTTTTTTGTTGGACACTTATTAGTAATTAGAATACGAAACATACGAACATCATAACAGTGAACAACAATGACCATGCGGTTTATCGCCATCTGATCAATGGGTTAAACAGTGATGGATGGAGAGTGGTAATGTAAAACTAAATTTAATGGGACCACTCCCGCCCACCGTGGTCCCACCCAATGAAGGGACCATGATATCTCATTGCTGAGGACAGGATAACCTCTCTTTTTCATTATTTATGTTTTTTTTTTTTTTTTTTTAAAGGATCCATATGGTCATGAAAACTGTGTGCAACTAGTGGTTATCACCCTCCCATTAATGGTTGGATGGATGGAGGGAGTGGATCCCATCCTACAGTTTAAAGTGATGAGTTTGTATGGGCCTACTCTCTCCAGCACCATGCAAGCAATTAATTGGACGGTGATAAACCTATATGTCATTTTTGCCCATGACCATTTGAATCATATTATGCTCCGTCTTTCATTGAAGGCCATAAATAATTTCCCATTAAAATTTTTCCTTACAAGCATTATATCCGTGCTATTCCCAAGGTAGCAACGTAGGCAGGTAGAAAATATTGGGGGCATACTTTCATTAGTTGCAACCTTGACAAGGAATTGACATACTTCTCAGTCAGTGCATCATCCACTTATTGCCGATATTGATAGCACCCAAGGTTTTAAAAAGCAAATAAGTGACCCCGATCGTGCATCTGGATTTCCGATCCAATTCAACAGACCAGCAATCTTGATCAATCATCTAACAGTGTTTACAAATCGAACCAAAACGGTTAACCGGACATGGAGCCGCATGCGGTTTAACCAACTAACCAGTAAACCGGTTGATTCAACCGTTCTAACCGGGCAAGTCTCAAGGCAATCAAAATATTGTTGCAAAAATAAAAAACAAAAGATAAAAAAACAATCTACTAAAATATGAAAAGCATATAAAGAATGATTAAAATAAAACACATTCAAATGAAATTGAAAATTAATGAAAAAATGGATTTTAAGTTTTAAAGGTGCCTGAGGGTATTTTTAAAATTTTCAGAAAAAGATAGAAAAATATAAAAGTGAGTATTAATGACCATAACAATTTCTAATATTTACCATAATATAAAGAATATTAAAAAATATATTACAAATCAAATTCCTTATTTTTCAGATTTTATATACATTTTTTGAATTATTTTTTTTAAATACCGGTCGATCATCAAAATCGCCCTAAACTAAAACCGGCCAATGGCCGGTTCCGATCTAACCAGACGGTTACTGGTTATATCCCCCAATTTTCTAACATGCTGATGTAGTCTACCAAACTAGACATTAAAAACCTGAAACAAAGATTTTAACAAAAAAAAGTGGTGCCAGTTCTAATTGGTTCTTTGCCAAAATCAACCATGTCATAGGGGGGAATGGCCGATTCCCGATATTTGGTGATGACTGGTTCATCCCTAATGATTCCCGCTACAAATTGGCCAATTCCAATTCAGACTGACATTTTTTTTTAGACCTAGATATCACCCCATCAAATTTACAAGTACCAACATGGGAGAATTTTAAAGTTCAAGAGTTTATGTCTCGATAATTAGAAAATATAAACCACTGCCATTGATGTATCTGCAATCCAAATAACATTGGACAAGCCAAATTAAGGTCTATAAAAAAAAAGACAAATAACATCACTTTAATAGAAAGCACAAAGACACAGCATGGATGAAAAAACAGGGTTAATGGAAACAAGTTGACAGTTGCAAGTAGCTTTTCCAAGTGTCAACAGCATGCAAGTGACTCCCACCTGAGACCAAAGTAATCAAATAAGGATCTCATAGAATAGAAGTACAAGAAAGATTACTTATGAATTTCCCTGCTTTGAAAACAAGTTACACAAGGAAGTACCCTACCAGACAAATGTACTCTGATCAGTTAAATGTATATTTATCATATTTGTCCAATAATTTTATTCTCAGTTAAATCTAAAAGTGAATAAATTTTTGAGCCCATAGCAACACATGCTGCACGTTATCTATTATTTGGTAGTCCACTCTGAGCATTGAAAATGGTTAGCATTTACCGAATACAGCAGCTTGTATCTTTGACAACCATAAACCACACATTAGCAGCTGTCATTTAGCTTGCTAGCACACACAAGCATAAGTTGAGGTGCATACGCACGGCATTCAATACTTTCAGTTCCACTATTATGTCTATCCATGTGTGCCTGCATATCTGTCTGTGGAGGTGTGCGGTGTTTCTTATCTTTCAACTTAAAACATCATTAGAGGTCCCCTTCAAAATCCACCATTTCGATGTATTGGGGAACCTAAAACTATTCTAAACTCCTGCAAATCCACTTCCACCCTAGAAATATGGATCAAAGTACCTAATACAGCAGCAAATTTGACTAATCTAAAGCAATTGAAATGAATGGTCGATATCATATGTTGAGATGACATTCAAGATGGAGCATCTTAAGGGCTACAAATCCTTCCTTTATTTTCGGTTAGGATCTTGATCTTGGATCTTAAGAGGATGAATTTGCAGATTTTTGGATCCTCAATCATCCAAAATATGGAGAAATGAGGGTCGTTGTTTGTTGTTCAGATAAAGAACGAAACCATTACTGAATTGAGGGTTTTTTGGAATTTTCTGGAGCAGGCAGTCTAAGTGTGTTTGCAGGTGCCTTGCTCACGACTTAATCTTTATGTGCTTAAACGTGACACTTATGTAGGTCATGTTGTAAGATATACGTCCGAACATGCTAAGCATCAAAGCTTGCCCACATGAATAAACTTACACCATAAAATTCAATAGAACTCCAAATCATGTTTTGAATTATTATAAATGACAACCTAAACCTAGAGGAAGCTCACAATCAGAAATTACTTCATGGTAATCATGCTTTAAAGGTGTGCATGTTACAAAAAAAAAAAAGCTTCAAAGTTGATTGGTGTCCCCCAGAAGTTTACCTTGGTCAATTTCACGGTGAAATATATGCCCTGATATTTCAATCTAGAATATGTCCTAGCTGTAAAGATTCTTCAACCTCCAAGAAGCTTCTATGATGTCTTCTCTCCGAGCGAATGAACTGAACCTTATATACCCTTGCCCACAAGGGCCAAATCCACTACCTGGAATCGTCACAATGTGTGCTTTCTCAAGAATCTCAGTGAATACATCCCAGGATCTCTTCCCAGGAAAATGCACCCAAACATAAGGTGCGTTCTTCCCTCCATATGCCTTAAAACCAAGAGAGGTGAATATCTCAATAATCAATCTTGCATTCTCCTTGTAGAAATCAATGATAGTTTGTATAGACTGTAAATGCATAGACAAGGGAAAAGGGGAAAACTCATCAGCACAAATGCTCGCATGTGAAATGACCTGAAATTTGATATTGTCACATGTATGACAGAAAATATATTGAAGACTACTAATACTTCACTTATTTAAATATATATACTGACAAATCACACTAGTTTCTATGCTCAATCCAAAGCAGTTGTTGTAAGAATGTATTGTGTATATTTTTTACAGTGTGAGAAATTATGAAACAGAAATCCAGAACTAACCTTCAAGCCTTCTGGGGAAAGGCATGCAAGCCCTCCAGCCTGAGAGATATTGGAAGTACCATTGGAGCATGTACAAACAAGGCGATCAAAGTCTTTTATTACAGGGAAACCATTTGAATATAATAACTCACTGGGAACTACAGTCCACCCAAGACGAACCCCGGTGAACCCAGCAAATTTCGAAAATGACGAAATTTCAATCGCAACCTGCATAATGCAAGAGGTCTTAGAAACAGGTTACAACCAAATGTCTGCCCAAACATACGACACACTAGAAAATTGTGTAAATATCTGAACCACCCTTTGATATGCACCACCCCAAAGTTCTAAGCCTATAATTACTTAAGAGCATGAGGAGATTGAGCACCAATATTCGAAGTTGAAACTGCCATAGTGGCAATGAAAACTCCAAATGCCTGTTACCACTAGGAGCTTAACATCGTCCAACATAAAACAAACTAAAACACCTAATCACCCAAATAACAAACACTGCTAGTAGCTTCGCTTCTACGCTACAGGACATTTACAGGAAAGGTTCTACTCAATAAATCTCACAAGCACAGACCATCTATAGTTACAGTGAATGATGGTGGAAGGTATTACTGTCCCGCCTCTGTTTTACAAAGATATAGATAAGAAGTATTACACTTTGATACATTAAGGGAAAAAATATTTATTTAAAATGCCTCCATCCATAGAATATAATGATTTGGGAGATATTTTCCTTCCTGATACCAGAGGCAATGAGCATAAAATCATATCTACCTCTTTTGCTCCAGGGATTTCAAAGATTGATCGCGGGCAATCATCTGAGATATAAGCAGCATAAGCCGCATCATACACTATTATAGATCCATTTTTTCTTGAAAACTCTACCAGTTGAGCCAGCTGTTCTCTTGTTGCAGTGGAACCAGTTGGGTTGTTTGGAGAGCAGAAAAATATTATATCCGTGCGTGAGGCCGTTGACAAGTCAGGGAAAAAATCATTATCGGCAAAACATTTCATGTACTCAATATTCCCATATTTCCCCTCGGACTCTTGGAATACATTAGTCTGACCAACAACAACGCCTGTATCCACATAGGCCTGTGATTATGAAAAACAAATAAACCACTATTAGAAACATTTATTGTTTCACTGTTAAAATTAGTCAATGACTTAATAAAACAACAAAAAATAATAAATTAAGAAGACATGATCTATTCATGAATATGCTATACTCAAATAATTGCAAGCTTTCACAAGGAAACACATAATTGCCAAAATCTCCCTCTTCACATTTTGAGAAATTATATCCCAATTAATTTCCAAAAAAAGAAATTATCCCAATGTTAACACAACTAAAAGAATGTCTTTTTCGTTATCCTATTTAACCCAAACCAAGAAATCCCAAAACTGCCTACACCTCACCGGATAGGATGGATCTTGCACAGCTATGCTGACACTGGATCCCAAAAGGAGCTGTCAATGAAAGGGGTAAAATAGTCAAGAGAGACTACCAAAAAAGTTCTCAGGAGAAAGGATTAGCAATGCTACAATTATTTAAGAAAGAACAAAAAAATATTTGACTACCTAAAACTCCACATTACTAAAGACATGAAGTTAGCAAACTGGATTAAAATGCACAAAAACCTCACAATTAACAAAAAATATGAGACAACTTCCACATTATATATATAATAATTATTTTTCTTTGCCCTGAATTCCTCAAGCTAGTTGGCAACTCAGGTCCCAAAACAAGCATTTCTTACATGGTTAATCCAGATAATCCAATGCTGGTTATATTCAAATCCAGTTACTGCTCAACGCAATTTTGATCTAACACATTGTAACCAATATCCAGCTGAAAACAAGAAGTTGGTGAAGTCGAATCTTTATGTACCTGGAGACGTGAAATATCAGTTTGAGACCCATCTGAGATGAAAACCTCAGAGCTTTTAATGCCTAAATCCCCGTAGAAAGTATTTGCAATAGCATCCTTCAGAGCCTTTCAACAGAGAAAAATTTAAGAATCATCTTTCACAAAGGGAAAATAACAAATTGTGTTCCAGCCAAACCACAAAGTGAATCAAACCCAAGGTATGCTAGACATTAGAATGAAAAAAGAAAGATACTATGTTAGACCAGCATCGAAATTTTAATAGCATATGAGCCATGAAGATTTTGCAGCAGACGAAACTGAAGGTATTAGTCGTTCAGTTAATTTGGTGTGTAAGGGAGTGATGAAAAAGGGCATATGAAATAGAGAAAGAAAAGCATTTGTACCAGGCGTCAACCTCCTTATACTATAAAAGTAAAGCGCACATCAGAAACCCATTGGAAAAGGTTGTTCAGACACAAGAAAAGACTTTAATTGATCATCTCAACCTAGAGATGTATGGACATAAAAAAATAAATTTCAAGTCCTAAAAATAATGCATCTTGTAACACATTATATGGACCGTCCAATTTCAAGATTTTCAAGTGTCCATAGACCTGCTCGATCTGTATTTCTTTTTGGAGCTTTAAGTTTCATAATTAGACAGGGAAATAGATTTCAGGTCATCATACGGGTTTCTGGAACTGGAACAACATCTTCCAATAGGATTTGGAGTGTTGCCTTACATCGATTGTTTAAAATTGATGCCTTAAATAAATTGCACCCAATAAAAAATAGGTAGATAGATTCGTCGAAAAGTTTTCAAGACCATTACAATGAGGTGAGCACCCTCAAGTTTCAAAATACTCCTTAAATCTTAACTCCAATGCCAACCCCTCTAGGCTCTAACAGAGCACTCAGGCTCCAATACCCATAACCAATATCTTGCTTTAGGTTCACCCTCTGGCCCAAAACAACCCCTAATCATCAACTGATTAACTTCAGGCTGTCAGCCTCTACAAGTGAGTGATATCAGAAAATGTGTCATTGTCATCTAAAGATGGGGAATAGTAAAACTCCTCCAGGAAAATATTAACCCTCAAACATCCCCAAGCCGATCACCTTATCAATAGGCTTACTCAATACTCAAGAGGCTAGAAAGGGAAAGAGAGATTACGCCCGTCTAAAACCTCTCAAACTCTACTAAAAGAGCCCAAGTGGAGCCATTAGCCATTGCCTAAAAGGAGATTTATCAATTTGTCAAGAGATTAGTAAAATTTCTTAACAACTGTGCATCAATAACCATAGCAACTTATCACAACACAAGCGCAGACTTCATAGCCAGAAACGAAAGACCCCTTTTGTAGCCCATTTTGCACTATGAAGTATGAATTGCAACAAAGTACAAATACTAGCACATAATAAAAGAACACGAAGTCACGAACTTAGATCATTCATGCATATGCAAGACCAATAGTGAAGCATTTATAATAACAATCACCATCAGTTCAGCAGTCATTGCTGTAGTGCTATAACGAACTGAGTTTCTATGACAAGAAAGTCTGCCAAAAAGACCCAGAATAAACAACTGAGGCAAAACATATTGATAGTTTGATACCTTCTCCCCTTGCTCCGGTCCATAGCCACTATAACCCTCGATTGTTGACAGAGCATCAGCCCGCTGCAAAACATCAAATCACATATTTTCTCATTCAGAAGCATCCATAAGGAATATTTGAAATGCCTGAATAGATAATTCTCAGTTGGCCATAAAAATTTGTAAAACATACAACATACATTGTAGGAACATCATAACATCGTTAATCAATAAATGGTTCCTCTCGTACATAGTTAAAGATGTTCACATTTACAGTATTGAAACTCATGTCCTCAAGGTCTTAAATTTGGTTGCCATATTACAAGATGTAAGACTGAAACTACATGGCCAAGTAAACATATAAAGAAAAAACAAGAGGAATCCCAGTTATCTTTACTCTCAACTAGTACGTTATGGAAAGTAATCCAGGCAGTCATGCCTAGAAAAACTTTGTATTCTTCTGAAGGAAAATTTCACTGTAGTAGTAGATTTGGTGAGGGCTGCCACCGGGTCAGGCCAGGCCCAGAATTCTTTGGCCTGGTCAGGGAATTAGATATCGGGCTCTAGCCTGGTCAAACCCGGAAATATTTCCTTAAGCCCAGCCTGGCCCGCTATCGCCCCGGAAATAGCATTTGGGCAACCTGGGCCAGGCCAAATATAGGCCAAGCCCTTTTTTTTAAAGGCTGATGACCTTAAACTTTCCCTTAACCCATCCCATGCCGGGGTAAAAGGGTTGGGTTGTGTTAGGTAGGCAACCAATGTAAATTTTTGCCAAAACTTATCATGAATTATGAACCTATATCGCGGACTAGGATTCATGTAGCCAACCCCAATTAATTGGGAAATTCTATGATGATGATGATCTCCTCAGAAAAAAAAAAAAAAACCTTTTTTTATAAAAAAATTATACTTAAGTATTTTTTTCAAACCCTAATAAAATCTAATAATAAAAAATTAAAAAAAAATCTAAAAGGGCATTGAGGAAGTGAAGGAGGCACGTGGCTACCTAACTACCACAAGCCCATCTCTCTCCTTCTCTCTCTCTCTCTATCTAAAATGGAATTGGGGAGGGTGATGGAGGCACATGGCCACCCAACCATCACATGTTCACCCATCCCCCCAAAAACTGCCCATCTCTCTTTCACACTCTCCACTTCCCTAAAAATCACCCATCTCTCTTTCTCACTCTCCGCTTCCCCAAAAATCGCCCATCTCTCTCTCTCTCTCTCTCAATAGCACTATCTTTGGGCTTTCCAAGCTTATTTTGCCCGAACTGACCTGAACCTTGCTTGGAGCCCGATAACGGCCACAAAATGACTAAAAATCGGCCCGAAGCCAGCCCAGCCCGGACCATTGGCACCCCTACATTTGGTGGACTTTTCAAAAAAAGGAACAATGATCACACAATCCACTTTATTTCTCAATAGAGCCTAAGTTTCAAAAGAAGCAACATGTTGTGATCCAGGTAGAATAAGCACGTATCTTTATAGTTGTAGCCAATCAACTGGCCCATCTTCCAAGCATGCATAAAAGTCGGGCAATAAAATTGAACATTACACAACAATCATTGTTAACAAACCAACAAATGGATGCGAGATGAGCAAAAGGTACCAGAATAAGAAATGTCGGTTAGGAGACAAAAGGGACATTACTAAGAGAAAAGGTAGGATCCAGAGAAGCTAGTTTATTTACAACTAAATGAGACATTAATGAATGGAATACGAAAGGAGAGGTCTAAAATCCAAATGTTTCTATTCACTACAATGAGTTATTCAACCAGATGAAGGACGAGTAATAACACTTGAGAGGGAGGCGTGTTAGAGATATCAAACAAGCTAAACACGCCATGCAATGTTAAAGAGACATGGAAGAGTGGCATAGATGCAAGTGGATGTTAGGGTGAAACTAAAACTACATAAAGAAACAGAATAAATCTTATAATAGAATTTGAGAACAACGGCACATAATCGATTTTGACATTCGATTGTAGATTCCTAGGCTTTCCACAATATGTGCAGAAAAGCCTAAGATGGATGGGACAACAATGAGCACTAAGAAAATCTCCTGAGGTGCTACAAGAGGTAGTGTTGCATGAATACCAACACGAGTGTTGGTGTCAATTAGGGTCACAAGTGCCTAATACATCGGCCTAAAAAGCCAGTATGGCTAGACACATCTGTACAATTTTTTTATGGATAAAATGTATTTTTTTATAGTACATAATATACTTTTCCCTTTATATCACCAAGTATATAGATGACAAGGCCGTAGATCTCATAGCAGCAATGTTCGAAAAGGTGTAGGCGGCCGCCTAAGCGGTTTGGGTTCTGGGCAGCCTAGGCGGGCGCCCAAACCTAAAGGCGGCATGTGTTGTCTATTTTTTTAAAGTTGGATCTCCCACACCTCCACCCATTTTATTGTATATATTAAATAATAATAATAACTATGAATTAATACTATTTTTGGTTTACCAATAAATTCATAATTATTATCACATGCAAAAATATCTTTGATAAATTAATAATTATGAATTAATACAATTTTATGGTGTAAGCAAAAATCATTTTCAATAAATTAATAATTACAGATTAATGCTATTTTTTGGTTTACCAATAAATTAATAATTATTATTACAGGCAAAACGACAAGTTAAAACGTGTAATCCTTCTATATGTCAATTAAAACTGAGTTAATAATATCTTTTGGTTTACTAATAAATTAATATTTACAAATTAATACTATTTTTTAGTTTATCAATAATTTAATAATTACTATGACATGCAAAAAAAAAAAATTTGATAAATTAATAACTACAAATTAATACTAATTTTTTGGTTTACCAATAAATTAATAATTACTATCACATGCAAAAGTATTTTCAATAAATTAATAATTACAAATTAATACTTTTTTTGGTTTACTAATAAATTAATGATTACTGTTATATGCAAAATGACAAGTGGCATAAAAGGCCCTTCCATAAATTAATTAAACCTTAATTAATTCTATTTTTTGGTTTATCAATAAATTAATAATTACAAATTAATACTAATTTTGGCACAGGTCAAGGTGGCGCATAGCAAAAGCCGCCTAGGACAGGCCATCTAGTCCAAAAACTACGCATTTTTCAAAAAATGCTGCCTAGGCAGCTGGGTGGCCAAATTTCCGTTCATTGCATAGCAGTGAGCTTACCTTAAGGCTGTAGGAGTTCAAATATTTTCATTAGCATGTTTTTATAATTAGTCAAGTATTGGGGTTGTGTCATCAATTGTCAATATCTATTGACACACGAGATGTGCCTCTTCAAAACAAACCCGCACCAATGATCTGAACCAGTGGTTTAAAAAACGGATCGGTGGCCCAGATCGGGCACCCCAAAAACCCATCCGGATAGGTGGATCGACGATCAGGATCAGGAATCGGCCGAATCGATCAAATTAAGCTGTAAACAAAATATAAAAAATTTATTATAAATTATTATAAATGTTGTTTTTTAGGAATCCAATAAGAAATTGGGGTACTATATTATTAATTTTCATTTTTTTCATCAATATGTGAATATTGAAATATTTTTTCTCTGTATGAACTTATTTTAACTATTAAATTACATCACACAAAATAAAAATCATAGAACTATCATGGATGAAGTATATAATCATACATCGACTACAATAAAGAATGATTTTTTTATAAGAACATTTTAGTTTTTTTGACAAAAACCTTTTATTTTTTTACAAGAAATGTTTGTCGTATTACATTTTTTTTTTGTTTTTAGCAAGAACCTTTTTTTTGACAAAAAATACTTGTTGTATTAATTTTTTTTTATAAGAACTTTTTTTTTTTGACAATAACTTTTTATTACTTCTTATTTTTTTGACAAAAAACTTTTATTTTTTTGACAAAGAAAAGAAATTTGGCAAGAAAAATAATTGATAAGAACCTTTCATTTTTTTTTATAAGAAAATTTTTATTTTATTGATAAGAAAAAAATTTGACAAAAAGCAAAATTTATAAAAAAAAAACCTTTCATTTTTTTGAAAACAAAAAAATTTGACAAAAAGCAAAATTGATAAAAAAAACCTTTCATTTTTTTCTTATGACAAAAATACTTGTTGTATTATTATTTTTTGATTAAGATTTTTTTTTTTTTGACAATTACTTTTTATTTTTTTGACAAAATTTTTTTTTTTGACTAAAAAAAGAAATTTGATAAGAAAAATAATTGATAAGAACCTTTCATTTTCTTTTTATAAGAAAATTTTTATTTTATTGATAAGAAAAAAAATTTGACAAAATGCGAAATTGATAAAAAAAATCTTTCATTTTTTTTATAATAAAAAAATTTGACAAAAAGCAATATTGATAAAAAAACCTTTCATTTTTTTTATAAGAAAAAAATTTGACCTCAAAAAAATAAAATTGACAAGAAAAATAGTTGATAAAAAAACCCTCTTTCGTCCCAAGGAGAATGGAACCCACGCCGCAGAAAGAAAGTTATAACCAGTAAGCCACATGCTACTTAGTAGTATTAAAAGCGCAAACAAAATATATAATATATTAATGTTTCAAGTT